TTTGGAAGAATTTTGTTGCTATTCCTTTGTGAGTCTTGCTAATAACTCTTCTAAACTTATGTGACTTCATGAAAACCATTGGCTTCGTAACTTCTCTCAAGAGAAGACCGTGAATTTTTTTTTGGAGAATAAAAACAATAACAAAGGTTTTAGGTAAAATCAGAGCAATTTTGCCAAATGAACTTGCATATTTGAGATTAAACAGTCCCTGTTCTAAATGCCAAAGAGACTAGGGAAACACCCATAGCTTGGCCCTTGCCTGTAGTGCTAAAGGGAGACTCTTATAAATTAGGTAACAAATGGCCATTTGCTGGAAATTAGGATGGTTTCTCGGTATGTCTGTTGCTCCTACTGTCACTCCCTGTTTCTCTGAAGAATTCTCCAGATGTCTAAATGCTGTGTAAGCTGGCTTAATGCCAAGTTTAGTGGACAAATCTACGTTTTCATCTTCCTTCCCTCCCTTCCTCGACTCTGTGGCTCTCCCTCTCTCTCTATCTCTCATTTTAGGTCCTCTGCTCCTCCACCCACCACCTCTCTCCCTTCCCTCTGGTTTTCAATTACAAACACCATGAAGCCTTGCTTTGCCCAAAGCATAATGATAGATTTGGAGCAAACAGGGGTAAGTGTCACCTAGCTCTGTTCTCAATGGCCTCATTGCCTGGACAGGAAGACAATGATTAAGCAAGGAGGTAGAAGGGGAATATCGGGGTAAAGTCCCTAAAAAAGTTGTATGAGAAGCAAATGGCATTCCAGAGAGAGGCAAGAGACAAAACAAGTCAGCTTACGTGTTGACAGAAATGCAAGACAGTTCACCCTAAGAATATGCCTTCAGCAAAACTGCTATTGCTTCACATTCTGTTTTATCTTTTTTCCTGTGGTCATGGGGTGTCCAAGTGGTATTTAATATGGATGCAGCCTGTTCTCCTTAATTTGACTTCTGTACTCATTGTATTTGACCTCTTCATGACTTTTAACATACACGATCACCAACTGCACTTGTAAATGTTTGTACTGTTGACTTTCAGGACACCATACTCTCCTGCTTCCATCCCATTTCCTCTTTCTCAATCTCTTTTGCTGGATCTTTGTTCTCATCCCTCTTACATCTTACATTTTTTAAAACTCCAGATCTCCTTCTCCAGACCGCTTTTCCATCTACTTCTAGTAGTGTCTGCCTAGTACATCATCTTGGTGCTGTTTTCCAGCTTCAAGGCTAAAGATAATACTCTGATATATCTAGTCCAGACTTCATATCTATAATGTCTTGTTTCTGTTTTATTTTCCCTCCAAATACTTAATACTTTCTAACATACTATGGAGGAATTAAGTTACTTATTTTCTACTTAAATGTAAGCTTCACAGGAATGCTGCTTTTGGTTACTCACTCACTACTTTTCCCAGGGCCTGGAAGAACGCCTGCTCAGAGAGGCACGCAGCAATTGTTTTCTTTTGACTTGGGCTGCGTGGGAAGAGCCAGAATTCTTCAAGACACACAAATTTTCTATCCAACTTTTACAAGTCCAAGAGTTGAATAAGATTGACCGCATTACAAGGGCAATCAGTGTAATTCATAGTCACAGCTGTCACGCGGGCCATAATGAACTTAAACGTCAAGATCGTTCTTTTTTAGGTTTTGTTTTAAATCACTTGATTTTCTAATACAGAGTTGCATTTGAGGAGGGCTCCCAATAACTTTACCAGCACTTATTGGACTTGAGAAACTGGCCTTCCATTTCCTTTTTGAACATTCATTTATTTCACATTTTGAAGGTACCATATACTTAATCCACAATAACATTCTAGAATATGAACTAAGGCAGCAGATGTGTATGCAACTCACAGTGGCAAAACTTTATTTTTTTTAATTCTTTACAATGGTTGACTACTGTCATTGTAGATGATGTATTAGATGGGAATTTATATACAGAATTGAGATGGTATGTGTGAACAGAAGTCATGCTTACTTCAGTTCATCCAGAATTCTTCACCTCACTTTTGCTTCAAGAAGTTCTATTACCCAGGATGTAACTCATTTGTGTGCACAGCGAATAGAGCAGCCCTTCTCTACCAGTTCATAATTTAGCCAGAGGGACCCCAGATTGATTCTCAGCTGTTAGCCAAACAGAACAGAATAGCTCAGTAGGGCCAGATGTGAGAGTTGTGTTGGTTTTCTTGCCTGTTTTTCTTTCTTCTTTCCTTTCCTTTTTCTAAGTATTATTATTACCATGAGTCATCCACCTGAAATCCAGGGAGAACTAGCAAAAGGTCCTTTACTCAACAATGAAAAGGACACATGACTGGTAAAGGGGTTCAAAAAATCACACTCAGAATCCAGACATTGAAACTGCCACCCAAGCACCCCTCTCCACCCATTACCAAAAGAAACAGCAACACAAACCAATAGCAAACAAAAGCCTTGAAAGAATAAACAAGTGCCACGCCCTTGCAAGGTTTATCTTCCTTGCTTTTTAACAGCCAGTCTACAACCCCTCATTATATTTTCTAAACTCTTTTCTTGGAAGAAAATTATTTTTAATGTTGCATTTTTTAAGGTTATTTATTTATTTTGAGAGTGACAGAGAGTGCAAGTGGGGGAGGGGCAGAGAGACAGGGGGAGAGAGAGTCCCAAGCAGGTTCCGCACTGTCAGTATAGAGCCTGACACAGGGCTCGAACCCACAAACTGCGAGATCATGACCTGAGCCAAAACCAAGAGTTGGACGCTTAACCAACTGAGCCACCCAGGGGCCCCTAATGTTGCATATTAAAAAAGATCTTAAAGGTACTCCACCATGGCTAAGTTTTAGAATCACATTTTACACTATCACAGAATTAGAATCTATTTGTGAATATTGTCTAAAAAGGCAAATTCTTAAATCATCCTCTTCGGAAAACTGGAAATGAATAGCCACACTATAAGTAGTTAAGTGGAAATGAAGTAAATAAGGATAGAGGAATAATTGCTGCCTTTAGGTTATTTCATGCTTGTAACTCCCCGTGAGACTGAAAATATTCTCTTTTTAAGTTTTATCATATTGTAAAGCATGTCTTTTGAAACAGTTAGCAGCAGAATTTAACATGTCAAACCTTTTATTATATTCTCTTGTCTATATATTTCAATGGATCCTGAGCTTCCGTTCTACCAAATGTAATTATTCATCACCTCGTGATTTATTTATTATTGCTATTTTACACTATCTCAGACGCTTGAAAGTTTGAGACAAGTACTTCATTCTTAAAAGAGAGAGTCTGAAAGCCTTCAGCTTGCTTTTGAAGTGGTCTTTTGGGCTATTCCATCGGATACTTGTTCAGTATCTTATGTATTACTTTCATGACCTTTCCAGGTTCACAGGACATGCATTCATATTCTGTCTACCTCAGTTGGTGACCAGGTCTAGAAAAAACAGTCAAGCTTGAATACATAGTTTCTGCTATATTTGGACATTATCTTTTAGATAACTTCCTTTCAATAAGTCTTAAGAGAAAACAAAAATGGAACACTACTGACTGTACTGAAATTGATTTGAGGTGCATTCTAAGCTCAGAAAGTTTTACATTAAAAATAAAGGAATAAGGTAATTGTTGTTAAACTGTGTAATTTATCACACAAAATTGCTTTTCTTCTCCTTATTTTTTTTCCTTCTTTTATTCTCTTACTCTAGGAATCATGTCTTCCTTTACTGTAACTTATGCCCTGTCAGTAGGGATGCCTAAAGCTATTTAGAAAGCAAAACTTGGATAAAATTTACTCCCCTTATGTTTATATTTTGAAAAAAAGAAAAAGGAAAATTTCAAGACTCGTTGCTGTCCCTCAAACATGATTCTCAGCCACTAAGAAATCATTTATGATGAAAAATAAAAAAAGGAAGATAAAATGAACTTTTAGAATTTGAGGTGAAGGCTATCCACCTTGGAATTTATAGACCGGAGCATACCTTGAGAAGAAACATTTTTATGGCTTTTGAGATTTATGATCTACTGGTACATTGAAAATAATTGGCCGTGAGAATTCACAGGAAGCTACTTGTATAGCACCCACTGGGTGAGCTCATTTTATTTAAGCCATAAATTTCATTGAAAAAATTACTGAAAGCTGATGAAAAGCCTCACCTTTTAGGGGGGTGGAAAGCAAAACCAAATAACACAAAATTCTCTCGGAAACTCTGATGATCCCAGAGAAAGGTAACGCAATTTTTCAGAATCACATAGACAAATGTCTTTAAGCTAGTGCTACGAAATGGACAATGAAGACACAGTCTTGTTCAAATCCAATGTTCAAGCCCAGGAAATTGCAACAGAAAACCACAAAATTCTCAAGAGAAAGAGGTTAATATGTAGTTTCTTAAAGTGAATTTTGAAGTTCTTTGAAATAAATGGCATAACTGCTAGGAAAATATATGTCTACCTGTACAGACAGTACTTTCTATAACTCACTACTACATTCAAAAAGTATTTTATTACCACATAATTGGTTGTTACTTGACTTTATTTCATGATTGGTACAGGTATAAATACAGATAGGAGTATAGATGTATATATAATGATAAAACTATAGTAACTGATCTGTAAACAGGCGCCTGGGTGACTCAGGCAGTTAAGAGTCCAACTTTGGCTCAGGTCATGATCTCACTGCTCCTGAGCTCCAGCCCGGCCTCAGGCTCTGTGCTGACAGCTCTCGCAGCTTGGAACTTGGACCTTAGAGCTTGGAACTGGGAGCCTGGAGCCTGCTTCAGGACTGTCTCCAACTCTCTGCCCTCCCCTCAAGTATGTATATAAATGTTAAAAAAAAAAATTGATTTGTAAAACCCTTCTTTGTTCCTCAACACCACAGTGTATCCAAATTTCCCACATTGTATGGGAGAATAATGCCCTAAATAATACTTTAGCCACAAATTAAGTAGTACTCTTTTAAAGCCTGGGTGATGACTAACAATGTATTTTATTTAGCACAATAAATGTTTCTAGCCGTAGCTTTAAAAAATAGCTTGATTCACCCTTACAGGTGCAAACATGAAAAAGAAGGAAAAGAAGACGACTAGCTCTACCTCACTCTGGTCAAGATCTCAGCCTGGTGCCTGGAATGATTCAGTTGGTAAGGATTGCTGATTCCTAGACATGTGCATTCTGCTTTAACCAAATTTATTGTTTTTTTGGTTGCTCAGAGACATAAAGGAAATTTCCAGGAACGTGTTCCTTTCTTCATTTCTCCCTGCACTCCAGAAGGCATGCATTTGTACTGCCCCAGGTAGTGAAGAGAATCAGATCCATTATCTAGTTCACCTTCTCTTGGTTGCGTGAAGTGCAAATTAGGTGTTGCATTCACAGCAGCAGAGTATATATGCTGATGGAAATTTCTAATCATACCCACTGTATTTTGTCTTTGCAATATTAGTCACCATTAAGATAGAATCAAGCTTAACTGAGTATTTTTTTGTAAGACTAACATTAGCATTTGTTTTTTGTTGTTACATCATGAGTAGGTGTCTTCTACTTTAGAAATCTAGATCTATTTAAAAAAAGAAATCTATATCTAGTCCAATTAAGGAAAAGTTTTAATAACTTTTCTTAAGAGAGCAAGGAGGAAAAACAGAGTGGATGTGTTTTTTCAACATTTTTGTTAACACTTATTCATTTTTGTGAGACAGAAAGAGCAGGAGCAGAGGGGAAGCAGAGGGAGAGGGAGACAGACTCCAAAGCCGACAGTAGGTTCCGTCAGCTCTGTAAGCTGTCAGCACAGAGCCCGAGGTGGAGCTTGAACTCATGAACCATGGGTATCATGATCTGAGCCAAAGTCTGATGCTTAACTGAGTCACCCAAATACCCTTCTTTTTTTTTTTTAATTACTCTTCTTGCAAAGCAATCTTTCAGCTTTCCAAATGGTGCATCCTTTTGAGAAGGAGTGAGCACTAAGCAAGAAATGTGGGTAGAGAGCAACAGAAGTGAGCATCACATCAAAGGAAAACCAGTTAAATGGAGGAAACCTTCAGGCAGGAACACTGAATTGTTTATACAGATGTATTTTTCTTTATTAAGCCTTGTGTGCCTCGGATGTGAATTCTTATCCTTAAGAGTTTGTTAAGTTCAAGGAGCATAGGGCACAGAACTGATGTTCCCAAATGGATTATCTTTCCATTTTTCTATCTAGATTCACTGACATTGACATTTCTGCCAGTCAATCAGATGAAGTGGCTATGGAGGTGAAACATAAAGCACTAACACTTCTTTCTTGTTGTTGTTAAATGCAAAATAACTAGAATGTACTTATTCAAATGAGTGTTTTGCTTCAAAGTACTTGTCTTGTAAAATTCTAACTTACTCTAGTAACATCTAGTCACTTACTCTTAACTTCTCAGCTATGTTAAGGACACCGTTAGCTGAGTATCAGCCTTGATACTGAAATTATGCTAACATTAAAAGAGTGGAGATAAAGGGTGTTCTTAGAATTAATTGGCTCATATTGGAGATGCTTAAATAATCACTCATGTAAAAACATACATTTAATTGACATTTTGTTTCTGTATGTTTTCTTTTTTTTTAAATAGTTTATTGTCAAGTTGGTTTCCATATAACACCCAGTGCTCATCCCCACAAGTGCCCTCCTCCGTGCCCATCTCCTCCCTTCCCCCCTCCCCCCCCCATCAGTCCTCAGGTTGTTCTCGGCATTCAAGAGTCTCTCATGGTTTACCTCCCTCCCTATCCCCCACTATTTTTCCCCTTCTTCGCCCCCATGGTCCTCCATTAGGTTCTTCGTAAATCCTCTTATACATGTAAACATATGGTATCTGTCCTCTGCCTGACTTATTTCTCTCAGCATAACACCCTCAAGGTCCATCCATGTTGCTACACGTGGCCAGATTTCATTCTTTCTCATTGCCACGTAGTATTCCATTGTATAGATAAACCACATCTTCTTGAGGATGTGGAGAAATGGGCATCCTCCTACACTGTTGGTGGGAATGTAAATTGGTGCAGCCCCTCTGGAAAACAGTGTGGAGATTCCTCAAAAAATTAACAATAGAACTCCCCTATGACTCAGCAATAGCACTGCTAGGAATTTACCTAAAGGGATACAGGAGAGCTGATGTATAGGGGCACATGCACCCCAATGTTCATAGCAGCACTCTCAACAATAGTTTGTGTATGTTTTCAATAGACTTTGTGTTTTAATGAGAAAAAAAATCATCAGGATTTATTTTTTTAATTTTTTTAATTTTTATTTTTTTCTTACATAGTTTATTGTCAACTTGGTTTCCATATAATCATCAGGATTTAAAGTTAGAAGGCCGGGGGTGCCTGGGTGGCTTAGTCGGTTAAGTGTCTGACTTTTGCTTAGGTCATAATTTCACGGTTCGTGGGTTCGAACCCCGCGTCGGGCTCTGTGCTGACTGCCAGCTCAGAGCCTGGAGCCTGTTTCAGTCTGTGTCTCATGCTCTCTCTAACCCTCCCCTGCTCATGCTGTCTCTCTCTCTGTCTCCTAGAAATAAATAAACATTTGAAAACAAAATAAAGTTAGAAGGCCTGAGGAGAAATGTTTTAGAATGAGCAGGACCAAAGGCAAAGAGATGTCTTGGGTAAAAATATCCAGTACCATTGCCGATAGGATGCGTGTATGGGGCTGGAGAAGTGTCTTGCCGGCACATTGTGAAAAGACTATTCATGTAACATTTTCTCAACTATAAAATGAGAGTATCATTTTCCCACTTTGCTGGAATAACCGGAGGACTTAAAAGAAAAGATGTATGGGTAAATGTTTTATAAAATGAGAGATGCAAATATAGGCTTAATACTTCCAAAGTATAAAAACAGTAGTCAATAGATTGTAGAACATATGATCCAAAGAGAGCCAATGTAGGTGTGTTAAGGTCTAAGAGAGGAAGCTTGGACTGGGAGTGAGGGCCAGGGTCATAGACAGGGAATGGAGAGGAGCGTTTGACTGGGATGAATGCCTGTGAGAAGCCTCCGAGGACCACCGAGCTTGTTTATTTCACTGAACGTCAATCAGCAGCTCATGTAGCATGGTGCAGATCTGTTCTAGAGATTTCCCTAGCAGATACACGTAAGCTTTGAAATGCTAATTTCTTCTCTAGTTTATATTGTAGAATGTAATTTCCTGTAACCTTCTAACCATTTGACTCTCAGTAGGGAAGTGTGAACCCCACATAGTCACTAGCGGATCAACTTTGTTCCGAAAAGACCACAGAAGCATCATTTCTTCTTTATCGATAGTAATATTCTGTTCTTTGTTATCATCATTTAAATATACATGATCTAAAATAAGTATAACTTGCTTTCTCCTTTGGGGAATGTAATGTGTATTTGACTCTGACTCTGCTATTTATCAGCTATTGAAAGATGGATAAGTTGAACTTTTTGTGCCTCAATTTTTGTGGGGTTTCTTTTGTGGAAAATGAAGATGAAAGTTATTCCTTTCTTATAGACTGCTCTATTGATTAATTGCGGTAATTCTGTTAAAGTTCTTAGTGCAGTGTCTGGATCATAGTCATCAATCAGAAAAAGTTATATTATTACACATCATGATAACTCTAATAACACTTGCTCCAGATCTACTGCGGGTGATATTTTATACAAACTCATATGGAACTGGTTATATAGATGGAACAATAATGAACACAACTTTCTTAATGGAATGGCTATCAAAGATGTTCTCATTATTCTATCTCACCAAAATGTAGATTCTGACCAGAATAAATAGCTGGGAAATTGTGAAAGTGACCAAACTTGTTTTATAGACTAGGATTGCTCAGCATCCTTTGTGAGTTCCTTGTGATTTGTAGATTTAGATGTACTGGTCTTTGAATCTCAGCTGGCTACAGTCCACTTACTGCCTGTGATATGACAGGCATGAAAAGGAGGCCAGCAGGACTGAGGCACTTTGCCCATATTGCTAGAATTTTTCACCTTATTTACTAAAATAAGTATATACAGAAAAACAAATGTAAGAAAATACTACCCATAATTGGGAAAAAGGAAATTCTTTCTAAGCAGTACTAAAAAACCTCCAAAAACTTCACAGAAAGTATTGACAGGTTTATATGCCTCATTATACCTTAATGAGGTTCAGAAAGACAAAAGTCAAATGACAGACTGTATTAATGTCACTTTTGACAAAAATTCAACCAAAACACTATGAGATATAATACTTACTAAATTGGTAAAATTTAAAAGGAAAAATAGAAGTCACTACTTTAAAAAATGACCATTGGTGATCATGTCTGTTTACTTCCCTTTACTCCTAGGCTGAAGGTCATGCATTTGCTATAATAAACAAGTGAGGTTAGGAATGAAGCAACACAGAACACATTAATTTTGTTTGTTTTATTTATTTATTTTTTCATTTGAGAGAAAGAAAGTACATGAGTGGGGAGAGAGGCAGAGCAAGACAGAGGATCTCATGTGAGTGTGGAACCCAATATGGGGCTTGATCCCATGACTGTGGGATCATGACCTGAGTTGAAATTAAGAGTTAGACACTTAACCAACTAAGCCATGTGGGTGCCTCCAAATTGTATTCAGTTTTTTGAAAATAATATTGTATTGGAGACTTTTTGTTTTATATTTTATTTTTTAAAAATTATTTTAAAGTTTATTTATTTTGAGAGAGGGAGAGATACAATGTATGGGGGGATGAGAAGAGAGAGAGAGTCCCAAGCAGGATCCCTGATGTGGGGTTTGAACTCATGAACCAAACCATGAGATCATGACCTGAGCCGAAATCAAGAGTTGGACACTCAACCAACTGAGCCACCCAGGCACCCATGTATTGGAGATTTAAAGCCTCACAAAGATCTTATTTCACAATACTTTGAAGTCATAGAGTAAACAGAGAAAGGATGATGGAAGTTAGTGGAAAGAGCATTTTTAATAAAAATAAAGAATAATACACAGTTTTTTTGCAAATTTTTTTCATTAGAAAAGGAGGACTTAATTATTTTTAAGAAAATAAATAAAAATCAGATACTATAGAAATAAAGTAAAAAAAAAAAATCAACTCTAATCACATCACCTAAATGTAACTTCTGTATTTTTTACTTTTTATCCTTCAAAA